TGGAAATAGCAGCCAGAATGGCTTAGGGCCAGAAGCAAAAAAAAAAAAAAAAAAGTTACAGAGGTTAATTTTTCTCCCAGCTATACTTCTGACATATGCTGAGACTGTTACTCATTTATATTGCTTCCCATCAATAAAAGAGGGAGATTCTATTAATAGTCCACAAACTTCTAGGGTTGGAAAGTGCAATTGTTAATAAGTGCATTAATAAACTCTGGGAATAGAAAGTGTTTTGTTTCAGAATTCTAATGTATATTTCTCCTCTTCCAATCTGTGTTCCACAGGACACACCAGGTCCTGCTCCCCAACCTCAGGGAGTACGATGCCCCATCCCTCAACCCCATGGAAACTGTTAAGAAGGAAAGTCTTTTATGTAAGTTAACTGTCCTTTGTGTCAGATAATTGTTTTGTCATCTTCCCAGGGGCAGTCAAAAAGAAATGTTATAAAAGTATTAAAAATTGATTATCTCTTTAGGAGAGCAAATGCGATATGTAGCAACAGTCAAAAAATGTATTTCTATCCTTTTCACCCACCAATTAATTATACTTTTGAGAAGCAACCAAGCAGAGACTTACTATTGAATACAAATCAAATAGACCAACCAACCAGTGGAAACAAACTTAAAATGCCCAATAATTGGGCAATGGCTAGCTAACTCACAAATTATAAATTGACAAAATAGGTAGCCATTTAAAAGAACATGAACAAAGATTTTGAAAATACAAAATTTGTATGAAATAATGGTAAATGCATTATATATGCATATATTTATTATAAAAATGTAAACACTATATAATATTAAGGAGAAGAATTCAAGAAACATGAGAAAGAGCAGCAGGTGTACATTGCATGTGATGTTTCTTTTGATTTTTTTTTTTTTCGTAGTCTTTGAAATAGTAAAAATGCTGCTAGGATCAGCATATCACTTATACTTTCTTATTCTCTTTCTATCTCTTTCTTTTAATCTGGCTCCAAAACCTGACCTGAACCTTGTATTTGTCCATTTTCTCCATTTTTAGGTCCCAAAGGAAATGATGCATGCCTCGCCATAAACATTATGAAGCTGTTTATTCAATAACTGAATTTAAATCACTAGACATTTAGTTACTCACTCTTTGGTGCGCCTATGTGGTTCCTTCTGCCGGAATTCATGACTACTTAGAGAAGACACGCTCCCTCTTTTCTTTAATGAATGGGCTACTCTGTCTTTGGCAATGTCTGACATCATCACAACCTATGGAAGACTTTTGTAAAATAGTAAAAGAAAGATATGAAAACGTTTTAGTTAGTATAACAGAGTCTAATGTTCAAATGGAATATACATACTTTTCCTACCATTTTTGAATGTGGAAGTCAAGTTTCCTCAAGAGTGATTTATAGAAGATGTTGTTATTTTGGCCAGTGTAACTGGAAATACAACAACTGATAACTTATTCATGCAATTATATATTCAATTCACATAAGTAGATATTAAGCTGTAGCAAAAATGTTCAACTGGAGAAAAGGGAGAAAGCCACTGGGAAAGACAGATGTCATCCCACACCAGAAACCAATATTTTTTATTGGCCCCCAATACTTCACACTGATAAAAGTTTTGCTAATTAACATGGGTTACTGTTTCTTTAAAAAATAAACTTAAATGTCTTCCCCAAAGGATCTTCCCTCCAAGTAACAGTGTTATTTTATAAAGAGAAAATAGGACTTATAACTAAGTAATTTATTGAAAAACCCACCTTTTTCTCACAAATCCTTGTTAAAAAGCTGGTACAACCAAAAAACAAACAAATGATAATAACAACAACAACAAAGCAAACAAAAAACAAACCAAACTCGTTGCCATTGAGTCGATTCTGACTCATAGCGACTCTATAGCAGAGAAGATCTGACCCATAGGGTTGCCAAGGAGTAGTTGGTGGATTCGAACTGCCTAACTTTTGGTTAGCAGCGGAACTCTTAACCACTGCGCCACCAGAGCTCCAAAAAAATGCTGGTAGTAGGGATGAATTTCCCACAATTCAAACTATAACTTTAATGCTTTTTTGCCTACAAATAAATTTAGGCATTCATTTAGATTATTTTAGAATTTGTAAGTCTGAGATCCATAACAGGGAGACACCTTGGTAGGCATTAACACACAGAGTCCCTGCCCTCAAGGAACTGGCAAGTGAGTACCCGGTAGAGTAGACAAGAACGCAATGGTGTGATCAGTGTCTAGGCAAAAAGAACCCAGTTGCCATCAACTCATGGCGAACCATGTGTGTCAGAGAACTGTGCTCCACAGAGTTTTCAATGGCTGATTTTTCAGAAGTAGATTGCCAGGCCTTTCTTCCAAGATGCCTCTAGGTGGACTTGAACCGCCAATCTTTCAGTTAGCAGCCAAGCTGCTGCACTACCCAGGGACCCCAGCGTCTGAGCAGAGATAGGCAAAGGGTACTGCAGGACACACAAATGGGGCAGAAGATGTGTGTTGGGGAGGCGAGCACTGTTTGTGTGTGTCTGTGTGTGTGAGCACCTGTGTGTGTGTGAGCACCTCTGTGTATGTGTCTGTGCATATGAGTGTGTGCCTGAGTGTATACGTGTCTCTGTGTGTGTGCCTGTATGTAGGAGTCTGTGTGAGCGGTTGTTTGTGTGTACCTGCTTGTGTGAATGTCTGAGTTTGTGTGTGAGCATCTCTGTATGTGAGTGTGTGCCTGTGTATGAGAGTATGTCTGTATAGGTATGAGTATGTGCCTGTGTGTGTGTGTGTGTGTGTGTGTGTGTGTACCTGTGTATGTGAGTGTGTCTCTTAGATGAGTGTGTCCTTGTGTATGAATGTCTGCATGGGTGAGTAGGTATGTGTCTACGCGTGTGCAGCTACCCAACTGATGAAAAGGATGGAGAGGGACACACTGAGCCTGATTAAGTGGGTCATTCAGGTTCTGCTCCAAAGTCACCGAGGCATTGGCTTCCTTAGCTGTTTCCAAAGCAGCTCCGCCCTTCACTCCTCCCCTTCCCCCAACCCCCAGCAAGAAAGGCCAGAGCTGGAACCTGGAGGAACCGAGGGGGTGAGGCGGCCCTGCAGGGCGGCAGGAAGAGGGCTCAGAACTCTTGCTGCTCTGGCTGCAAGAGCACACCGGGCTAGCACGCTCTTCAATGGGCATAACGCTCTCAGCCCAGGCATGCAGGCGGGCAGGGACGCCAAAGACCGGGACCCACTTCCAGTTCCCAAAATTGAGGCCACTTTTTCTTATTTGCTGGGCGGAGGGGAAGTAAAGCGGCGAGTGGTTATGGCCAAGGCAGGCCATTCTCAGCGCAGGGCCGCTCCCCTTCCCAGGCTCCGCGACCCCAGAGTTGGCTGTCGTCTCCCTTTCCCCTCTCCTCCAGCCTCCACGCGCTGCGGAGGGTGCCCTCACCTACTCACGGCTGCAGCCTGGACGTGGCTCCGCCGGGGGCCTCCCAGACCTCCGGCTAGTCCACTGCCGGCACCAGCGCGCCGCGCGGCTCCCACCTCCCCAGGCCTCTTTCTGTCCGCGGCCGCCCGCGCACGCCCTCTCCGCTCCGCCGCCGGTCTCCAGGGTGACCTCCTCAAACAGGGCCCTCGGCCGGCCCTGGCTGGACTTGGCCTCTGCGTGATCCTCTGAGCCGCCCCACAGACGTAAAGGATCTCACTGCCACTGGCCGGAGGGGTCGCCCTGAGCCCACCTGCGCCCTCGGGTGGCCGCGAGCTGAATGGGAGCCATTTATCCTATAGCAAGGACCTCTAGGACCCCTCGTTCGGTCGGTCCCCTTTCTCGAAGATGTCTGAGACAGGAGTGGGAAATGCTGCGGTTTCTTGGGACAGGAAACTCGAGGCACAGAAAGAAAGGAAAGCAAGTCCGCTTCCCCGGCCGCCGCCTAACGCCGCTTTCCACCACTCCTCTCCAAGGCACAGACAGTTAACAGAGGGATAATTATAAATTTACGATTTATTAATCTACATGTACTAGATTCTGGCAAACAGCTTTAGTTTTATTTAATCATCCCAACGACTCTGTCTAAACAACAATAACAAAAAACCAAACCCGTTGCCGTCGAGTCAATTCCGACTCATAGCGACCCTATAGGACGGAATAGAACTGCCCCGCAAGATCGCCTGGTGGATTCAAACTGCCAACTTTTTGGTTAGCAGCCGTAGCTCTTAACCACTACACCACCAGGGTTTCCCAGCTCTGTCTAGAAAGGATTATTCTCCCTTTACAGATTTAAAAAATTGAGACTCTAAGAAGATAAATAATATGCCGCCCCCATCCTGGAACCCACAGTCTTCACTGCTGTGCATTACAATCGGGGTTTCCTCCCTCCATAATACTTTCCTTAATATGACTTCGCAACTCATTTAAGTTTAAGAAGCTTTGAAGTGGAAGCTGTTTGAGGTTGAGCACGTACTTGCTTTAATAGTTCCTTCCTCCTTCATACTGATTATCTCCCTCCCAGGTCTGTAACTCCTCCCCTAACCAAAAACAAATAAAATCAAACCCTGCAGGGACCTTCCTGTAGGGGGGCAGTCTTTAGGGGTAGAAATAGGATAATGCCACTAAGCTCCTAGCCTAGGGCATAGGCCGTGATGAGCGCTTGGTCACGGTAGCGATAGCTAACAATAGTCATACACGAGGGTTACAGCGTAGCATGTTAAGTGTTAGGATAAAGACTTGTCAACACGGAGGAAGAGCATTAAAGTTTTCTGGCCTATCCCAGTCCCCATTCACAGTGTGATAAGAATCCGGATTTTTGAATATCTACCATGTACTAGGTAGGAATTGTTAGGAACTGATAAATATTCTCATTTAATCTGCTCAATGACGCTATGATAGAAAAACCAAAACCAAACCCATTGCAGTTGATTCTGACTCAAGGCGACCCCATGTGTTACACATTATAACTGCTCCATAGAGTTTTCTTGGCTGTAATCTTTGTGGAAGTTGATTGCTAGGCCTTTCTTCTGCTGTGCCACTGGGTGGGTTAGTAGTCAGGTCAAATTGTTTGCACCACCCTTATTATTGAACAAACAAAAACAGACCAAACCCACCAGTTGATTTCAACTCACAGCTACTCTATAGGGCAGAGTAGAAGTGCCCCACAGGGTTTCCAAGGCTGTTAAATTTTTAGGGAAGCAGACTGTCATATCTTTCTCCTGTGGAGCGGCTGGTGGATTCCAACTACCGACCTTTTGGTCAGCAGCCAAGTCCTTTAACCACTGCGTCTCACCAGTGCTCCTTTCTCCTTATGGTATAGGGGACATTAACTTTTTTTTTTTTTTTTGTCAGATAAGGAAATGGAGAATCATTGTCTTCCTCAGTTCTGTAGTTAAATTATGGAGCTGGGATTTGTCTGATCCAAAAGCGCTGGACTGTGCCAACTGTTTGCCCACTATGCTCACCCTAAACATGCAATTAAGTTTTCCAGAAACTCAGGTAAGTTTTAAGAGGCTAGCAATAAAAAAAGTTTCACAACTCAATTTATTTTTATAGTTTTCATTTATTTTCCAGAAAAAAAAGCACATTTAAATAACAACTTACTTAGATATTTCATCTTGTTCTTATGTATAGAATTAAACATTGTTTTGAAACAGGAAACCTCGTTGCAGTAACATGTCATAATAAATAATTGCATATTCAGGATTTTGTGAAATGGGTGACTGGGAAAATTAAGAAGGAAAAAAATTATAAAAATCATCATTTACAAAAAAAATGATAGCCACACTTTTTCTAACCTATAAGGCAAGTAACGCTAAAATGTTCTCGTGATTCTCTTCAACAAGTCAATACTCCACATTCATATCACCGTTGCTCAGCATAGAGCTTTGCTGCAGTCCTGTGAAGGCAATCAGCCTTTGCTTCTTTTGTTGGGTTTCTCTTGAGCACAGAAGAGTAGCAGTAAAGCTTTCTTCACAGACTAAGCAGCAACGGCTATCAGAATAAAGTATACTCTGCTGAATTGCAAGTGGAGGAAAAAAGACCAGGCATTGACATTTTGACTAAATTTTAAAGGCATACTTAAGTATCTTAATCCACAGTTCCTTTAATAAATATTTTATACCCAAGGTGTTTTGTGAAATTTTATACTCAATTCAAGATCATGAAGAAAGAAATTCACTCTATTTTTTGCTGCATAGATCACGAGAACTCTAAATAAATGCTACCACCAACTCAAGTACACATTAACAGCATTTTCCTTAAGAAAGACAATTGATAGAATTTCATTACCTTTAGAAACACAGCAACATTTCTCTTAGAGCTTCCTTTCCTAGTTTCTCTGATTGTTAAATTATAAGCCAAAAAAAGAAAAATAAAAATTAAGCCTTACATTGCCACTTACTAGGGAAGAAAATAAAAATTTCAGCATTTCATTTATACAGACCCCTTCCTATGCAAAGTGAAAAGAAAAAAAAATTTTTTTTTTTTTTCCTATTGAAACACAGTAATGTTCAAACAGCTTAAAAAGCCAACCCGATAAATTACTGCTTGGTCTGTAGTGAAGCCCTGCTTATAGATAAGTTCAGCATATCACCACACCAACATTTAGCTTTTTTTAAAAAAAAACTACTCAGCAGCAATTTTCAACTCCCTTTTGATTAACAGAGAGAGAGAGAGACAAGAGAGTGAGAGATCATACAGGAGCCAACCTCCCTATGCATATCCATTTAACAAAGCAAGAACTAAATACTGACCTGCAATATCATCACAGCTGTAAGAATTATCATCCTAGCAACTGATAAAGAAAAATCTTGGGACAGTGACCCCTATGATAATCATTTGGTGCATCATTTAAAATAGTTTAAAGTGATGATGCACGAATAACATTAACCATTTGTTTTGTCAAAAATGAATGAAAATATCAATGAAGTAAGAATGGGTGAGATGAAATTAACACTTGCAATATCTACTCATTTAATGGACGTTTTAAAATTACAAATGGCTTATGATCTCTCAGTCTGACTCACAAACTCTAAATGAATTAAAAATTGAACTATATTTACAGAAATATAAAGTGATTTTATAGACAATCTACCCAGGAATTTTTTAAAGGAACTTTGTTGATTTTGTGTAAAAACAACTGATTTGCAAAATACAACAAAGTGAAAAAGAACTGTGAAATGCTGATTAAATGAATGTGGAGTCCTGCAAAATGCATGCTACATAGCACATTTCTCTTAGCTTTAACTAAAATGCTTTTCATATAATTCCTAACGAGTTTGTTTAAAAGTACTGTCACCATTGCTCTATCAAGTTTCAATTTCTTATAAAGCTGTTTAATAAAATATTATCAAAGATTGTTCACAAGTATTAATTTCATGCTGCAAAGAATTTGGAACATCTTCAACAGACAGAAACCTCATGTGCTGGTGATAAGAGCAGGTCTTAAAAATAATAATTTAAAAATTGAAAATAATTTTATTGGTTTATTTTGGATATTTTAGGAGGTAAAGTTAAATTCATTAAGAGGTATTAGTGAAATTTAAAATGATATCAATTCATTTGACATAGCAGAAATTCTCTCAAAGTCAAAACAAAAACCCAAAAGCAAATTTTCAGAGCATTCCTGATTATATGATTTGCAATTGTTGAAAGATATATATAGCGGTGTTTAAAAAAAAAAAAAAAAAAAACTTTTCCTGATCCAGTAGCTTTCTTAAGCTTCAGTAAAATGCTAATATTTGTTGTCATGTCCAAGGAGAGGAGACTCCCCTATAAGATCATTTGTTCTCAGATCACAATGAAAATTTGTCAGAAATGGTACATCTAAACACAATGTGGGAGACACTGGTAGATAGGTGAATGCAAAGTACCCTTTTCTTCTAAACGTTAAGTAACATTTAAAACTATGTTTGCTTTCTGTTGAAACATCTTTTTCTAGAAGGTTGAAGATGTATTCTGCTAGGGATAGAAGAAGACAATCAGAAATACTGAAAATCAAAGGAAAAATAATTTTAAAAGTTAAATCTAGAGAAAAAAATTTTATATCCATGGTGAACGTCAACAAGGAGGTGCCTTTCTCTCATAGGAATACACCTATTTTTGAGGATAAAATGAGGATAAAAAAAATTCATTGCCATCGAGTGGATTCTGACTCACAGTGACCCTATAGGACAGAGTAGAACTGCCCCAGTGAGTTTCCAAGGAGTGGCTGGTGGATTCGAACTGCTGCCCTTTTGGTTAGCAGCTGATCTCTTAACCACTGATAGAAATCAGATATTAAAATGAGGGACAATCAAGAGGTGTGATCATGGTCAGCTCAGTAGACTCTAAACATTGACATTCCTTCAAGAATGATAACTAGATTTCAATTAGATATTAAAAATACAACTCTAGCCTGAAGAAGATGACAGGACATCGAAGCAATGACACAAGAGAAAGGCATTTAAAAACAAATATTTAGAGACTTAAATGATCTTCTATCTCATTTTTCCTCCCTACTTTCCACTGACAAAAATTAAACTAATGCTATTCATGTTTAATTCATGAGTGAGAGAATTGCATTTAAATGCTGCTTCTCAAATGAAAACTACAGGAGTAGGAAAAATACAATACAGCCTCGGCAGAGAAGTGCACATAGGAAAGGTGGGTGGGGTGGGTCACCAGGACAGAATTTATTTCAAAGAAACATACTTACTTATATTAAATTTCTAGGCTATATTTACAGGTCATACTTTCATTTTGAGATTATGAAAAAAAAAAGAATGCTTCCATCTTTTTGAAATGGCTGATCAGGAGACGGTGTAGCAAAATGAGTACATTTAGACCAAATGGGAATTTGCTCGAATGCATTAATCTTTTGGGAAATAAAAAGCTTAAACACACACGTACACGTACGTACACACACACACACACACACACACACACACACCTACACACAAACTCATGTCCTTAGTAGATACATGCATACTGTATCGTGTCATTCTGTTTTAATTGACAGCCTGTGATTATTTTGGAAAAAAAAAGCAAAAATAAAAGTGATTGGTGCAACTCTTTTGGAATGGGGCTGGTCCATGTTTGTAAACATGGAATTCAAAAGCCTACAAAATAAATAAGATCAACTCACAAGTTAGAGGTCTGCACGTCCCTTGCAAGGAAGGAGGCATTTTTTAGGACTGGGTATTTGGAATGAAAGACAACTTGCAATATCTCTACTGCTTCAAGTCTTTTAAGACATTGAAGAAAAGGATGAAAGTGTGAAAATGAGACAATGCATTTCAGGCCCTTTGAGACTGAGAGAGCTTAACGGGAATTTCAAGAAAAAGAGGAATTTTCCTAGAAAAAGCCACTATTTTTTTTTTTTTTTTAAAGATTGGAGGAAGTTAAATGGACTGCATAAAAATAAACTAAAAAAAATGGTATTCAACTTACAATTTAGTGCTTAAATTCTGATATGATGTCAGAAATAAGAAGGACCTTAGAGATCTACTAGGGCAGTGATTCTCATATTATGGGTGCTTGTCAAAACACATATCCCAAACTCTAACCAGAGATTTATGCATTCTAGACAAATTTATTGATGTACTATCTTCTAGGCTCTGGTGATATAGTGGTGACTAAGAAAAATCATTGCCTTCTTTTAATAAATGATGATACAAGTGGTCAAAAATGTACACTTTGAGAAATATTCTTTTTTCAACAACTTTGTTATTGGAATGTCCTTATTTGGATATTCATTTTTTGTACTGCCTTTTACGTTGGTATTCAAATAGAATAAATATAGTAAAATAAAACAAAATAAGTTTATTTCCCAGAAAGGACAAAGCAAAAAAGGTCAAGGGGCTCCCTCTGTAGTCACGTAACTGGGCTATTTCTAGCTGTGTCACGTGGGGCAAATTAATCTGACTAAGCCTCAGTGTCATTATCTGTAAAAACCCATTGCCATCAAGCTCAGCGATTCCCACTCAGTGATCCTATAGAACAGAGTAGAACTGCCCCAGAGGGTTTCCAAGGGGCGGCTGGTGGATTCGAACAGCCGACATTTTGGTTGGCAGCCTGAGCTCTTAATCACTGCACCACCAGGGCTTCATTTGTAAAAAAGGGATGAAAAAGAGTGCCTACAACTTTTAGGTGGATTTAAGGATACAATGAGATGTCAAATTAATATCTCTAGTGACTGGTATACGGTAAGCAGTCAAGTAAGTATGAATTTTTATCATGTATCAAATTTAAGTGATCTGCCCAAGGAGCCCTGGTGGTGCAGTGGTTAAGCATTCGGCTGCTATCCAAAAGGTCAGCAGTTCTAAGCAGCTCCTTGGAAACCCTATGGGCATAGTTCTACTCGGTCCTATAGGGTCACTATTGAGTCGGAATTGACTCGACTGTAACGGGTTTGTTTGTTTTGGTATCAATCAATTACTGTGACTATACAACGTATAAAGTCTCAAAAGGTGGATCTGCCTGAGTGAAAGTAGAGTCATGGAACTTTGGAGCTGGAAGAAGCTTCATAGATTGCTTATGTGTTACAGTGGTTTTCAAACTGGGGAGGTCAGATTTAAACTGCTGGAGTAACTCATTCATTGCTTTGATCTGTTTGTCTAACAGAATTCCATGTGTAATTTTATTAGAAAAAAACCGGCTCTTAAGAAAAGCTTGAAAATCATTTCAGTTTCAACCCCTCATTCTAAGTATGAGACACTGAAAAGGGCGGTGACTTGTCCAAGGTCACACAGCAAACGTTAGTGTCAAGTCACACAGCAAGAGCTAATATAAACTTACAGCTTCTTTGAATAGAAGGTTTAGAAATGAAAAGATGTGAAATTATGCCCTGAAACACTTTGCAGATTGAGATGGAGTGAAAATACATAAAAACAAAAATAAAACATCTTCAAGTTTGACTTTCTGAGGGGTTCCTATCTATTAACTTGAAACCAGTTGAAATGTGGACATTATTTACAGGTGAAATATATTCCCAAATGCCATACATGGAGTTTTTGTTTTGGCTGTTGGTGTAGAGAAGAACAGAGCTTTAAAAAGAATTAAAAATTTCATTCTTAGTAATTGTAAATTTAAATTAAGATAAAATTCAGACTAATTCTTAGTAAGAATTTATTTTTAAAAACTTTAATATGGAATTCATTCGAAAAGAAAATATAATTTCCATGTTGCTGAAAAAAAGCAGTACCATTCATGCTTTCTATCTTGCTAGAGTAGAACCGTTTTTAATCAGAAGGCTCAGGAAATGGTGGTGTTATTTTAATCCCTAGTACTGAAAATCACCTTCATATGTACTTCACTTTTTCTGATGGAGGAACTGACAGTGGACCTGACTTAATGTTTCTTTGATTACTGAGACCCTTTCATCGTCTAGGATCATTTTTCTGAAACTGAACTCTCATTATGCAGTACTATGGATACAGGAGATGATAACCTGCAAGACTGAAACAAAAAACAAAACTCCAAAATCCCAATCCCTGATATGAGCTTATTATGTTACTTTTTGAAGGGATATATTCTTTATTGATGTTCTGGGTCTTCAAGGTTTAATAATTTTGAAATCACTGACTCCCTTTCTGTTTTTTCATAAAGATTGATTAAGGGATCATAAGATGTTTACATGGTTTCAAATTTAGTCCCCGAAAACACTGGAATAATTTTAGGGGGTATTGTAATCTATGTTTTCAATTACATTTTTACAATATCAACAAAAATTATTCTTTGGGGAAAAAAAAACTGGTAGTTTAAATAGTAATTAATTCTAGAACTACATAAAATAAAATAAAATATAAAGATCAAGACATGAGAACCAGTAATATTTACATATTTTAATATGGTTTGTATTAATATTCAATAAGTTGCTCATGAACCGATATTTAAAAACACATTTTTATGTTCATATGATGGATAATTCTCAATTTTCTGCACCTTACTTTTGTTTGGTTTCAGTGTGCTAAATTTCCCCACGTTTCAGGAGAATTTAAAAGTTGGCATCTTCAGTTCTGGCTTCAAAATCAAATTGCATATCTTTACTAAAAATGAGTATATTAATTAGTTTGTTCAAAAAACTTCAACCCATACTGCTTTGGGGTGCCAATTGAGAGTTTGCTGGAATAGCAAGAATTCTTTCAAGGTAAAACAGATCATTGGAACATTCTCGTGATACAAAGCACTCATTCTGGAGCACAAATATTAATTTAAAAAGTTCTACTATAAACTAATGCTGGTCACAATTTATTTCATAAGACTTATAAAATTTAATTTGATTCTAAAATTTAAAGAGCTAAAAGTTTCTTTGTCAAATATGAACACATATAAAATAAAATTTAGCAACTGATGATAAATATAACAACTTAAGTATTACAGGTATTTAAGAGTATAACCTAAAATAGGAATTGGTTTACGTTTAAAATAAGTTCTATAATTAAAGGAAGACTAATATTTTCAAATCTTAACAGAGGAAGGTTTCACAGCTGGAACACTGGAGAAGCACTCTCCTCCCTGAACTTCCATATTGTAGGGCTGGACAGAGCGGTTACCGGCTTTATCATGCCTTGCAACAGTGAAATCACGACATAAGGTTTTGAGAATGCGCTTCTTGATTCCCAACAATGGCAAAGATTTACAGTTTTAGACAATGAATCTTAACAAAGAATATTTTGTTCATTCAATAGGAAGTTTATTGCACAATACATGTGGCTAGAATTAATTGATAAAGCTTATTGTTTTCCTTCCCAAATGATATAAATGATGACAATCAAAATTCTCCTTCTGTATCTGAACAAGGGGCTAAATTTTTCTCTTAAGACTCTTAGTCTCAATGTTTTGATGCCTGTGGAAAAAGAGGGAGACATGAGGTATCATTCCTCCGTGTTGGTTGGGAGAGGGCATTTATTCAGAGTGATTGTGCAGAAGTTTTTAACCAGTTTGACCATGGAAAGTCTTGAAATCGTAAAATCTCAGTTTTGGTTTTAGTCTGATTATTCAGTAATCCCCACATTTGCTAAACTGCAGAGAGGGGGAGAAGTAGTTAAGACTTCAGCATCTTCTTTTCTCTGGATTATACTTAAACTTTAAATATGAATTGCTTTCCCTTTTTACACAAGTTATAAAAATAAGAGGCCCTGTTTACACAGTTCGCATTTTTATGAAATTTGCAGTTTGAAAAAAAAGCTTTTTAAAAAGTGGTAATGCTTTTCTTTGAATATGCTGTAATCTTAGAATGTTTTTTTCTGAAATAGTTTCTGAATTTAAACCCACTAAACATTTAAAGATAGAATTTTTATTTAGCACTAGAGTAAGACATACTAAGGACTGAATAAAAGTTTTTTTTTTTTTTCTGGTTCCACTTAATTTTCTTTGTATGTGGCACCCCCTGTATGACAGCTATCAATACTGTATTTAAATTTTATATATTGACAAAATGCAATCTACCTCTGTAAGCATTGTGCCATTCAACAGTACTACTATTAAATTTACATACCACAGTTTAAATTACATCCATTTCAGGAATGGTAAAATGCTTAAAACTCAAGTGTCTAACTGCCTTACTGGAATGAGTACAATTTACAAATACAATAATTACATTTTAAAACCATTAACAATATTACACCTAGAAGTAAATACTGTACGACTGGTCATCATGGTATTGTGTGAGGGAAATCATTGCTGAAAGTCTCCAACATTTCCAGCAGATATATCCCAAGTGCAGATTTTGGTTTGTTTTCACCAAACCGAAATTCAAACCTGGTTCTCATACAACAGTCCTCCATTATATGTCCTCCACATCCTTGCATAAGATTTTATTAGTTATCCGCCAAGTATTTTCCTGAAAAACAAAATGACATATTTACAGGTTATCTACTAGTTCAATAATGCAGTTATTACATAAGTAACATATCTATTCCTCCTGTCCTACCCACTGGAACTAAATACTGCAAACTTGAGCAGTGCAACATAAAAGACATGAAGTTTTTTAAGTTTTCGATTTTCCAGACCAGCTAGTTGCATTTTTGCATTTCTATATTTGAATAATTTGCAGAGGTTTGGGTTTTGACCAAAATCGATTGGGAGATCTGTTCCTGAATGTGAGAATCCAACTTTTTCTAGGAAGGGTGACTATATATTTTCCAATCTGGATCATTTTTGAGAGGAAAAGTGGTATTACTAATAATTACATCAGCACAACAGGCATAAAACCCAGGAATTATCCCAGTGAATCACCCACAAGTATAGTCTCCTAGAGCTGGAGCATGTAGTGGAATTTGGATTTGTTCTTGTTTTACTTCCAGAAAGAAGTCACTGTGTGGTGGGCCCTGAATGACCCCAAATTTTGGGGAGGCAGTTCTGAACACACACCTGATTTCTTAGAGTGGTGCTTCACATAGAGTGATCACTGGACCAGAAGCATCAGCGTCACCTGGGAACTTGTTAGAAATGCAGATTCTCTGTTCCCACCCCAGCATTGCTGAACCAGGAACTCTGTAGGCGGTGCCTAGCAATCTGGGTTTTAACAAGCCTCCTGGTAACTCTGACACGTCCTAAATTTTTCAGAAACACTGCCTTAGGGGCTCAGTTGAGTAAAAGCAGGTCGAGTGGGGATTGTTGTGAAAGGGAGGTGCAGCAAGTCTGGCTCTGGTAGGGTGTGTGGCCACTAGGCTCTGGTTTATTTTCAGGAAAGCAAAAACATTTGTTGTCTGATATTCTAATTTTCAAAAAATGCTGGAAATCTAGATTTTGTTCGTTAAATCACCTACTTTTTAAATGTTGGTTTAAATTACTCTCTCTCCTTCTCCTCAACAAACTCCGTTGTGTGTGTCAAATAAAACTTGCCTCATAGCCGTATTCAGCTCACGGGCCGCCAATTTCCACCTCTATGGTGCTTCTATGGTTTAAACACTGTAAGGCTGCTATTAAAGTGAAGATTAGATCCTCTCAGTTCTCAGCTAAGCCTGACAAGTCTAAATCTAAAAAGTCCTTCTGAAAAACAAAACATTTCAGATGGGAGATAAATGCAAAGGCAAATAGTATTCCTCGTTTGTCAGTGAAAAAAAGGTAGGATTTACTCCATTAACCTCAGTACACTGTTGTGCCTATCAAGTCGATTTCGATTCATAGCGACTCTATGGGACAGAGTAGAACTGACTCGTAGGGTTTCCAAAGCTGTAAATCTTTACGGAAGCAGACTGCCACATCTTTCTCCCACAGAGTGGCTGGTAGGTTTGAACTGCCAACATTTTGGTTAGCAGCTGAGTGCTTAACCACTGTGCCACCAGTCCTTCTTCCTGCTTGATACTGAAACCCCTTGCCTAGAGTTGATTCCGACTCATAGCGACTCTATAGGACAGAGTAGAACTGCCCCATGGGGTTTTCTTAGCTGTAATTTTTACAGGAGCAGATTACCAGGTCTTTTCTCCTGTGAAGCTGCTGGTAGGTTTCAACAGCTGACCTTTTTGTTAGCAGCCGAATGCTTAACCATTGTGCCAACAGGACTCCTTTTAACCTCAATATACACATCTATAAAATGGGAACAACTGGTCAGCCTCACATAAAGAAAACAGAGCCAGACTAGGTGGCCAGAGCCCTCCTGATTTCTGATTTCCAGTTCATTGTCCTACTTTTACCTCATCAACAGTTGTTTTTTTTCTTTTTAATTGGGATGAAAAAATGGGTGTTGGGAGTAGGGAAGAGGAAGAGGAAGAAGATGAGAAAATCATAACCTATTTCTCCTTACAGAAGAGTTGCTAAGGCAATATTATTTTCAAAAATGAAACCTACAAGAGACATTATTCACTTACCTGCAGCAAACCTTTTCTTGATGAGTGAAAATCGATACCCTGCTCCAACAAGCTCAATGTCACAACCAGAAAGGGTGCTTCCTTCACTTGTGAACTGCACAACCAATGGGGAAGGTTTGCTTGGACCATCAGATAACTGGAATCTTGCCAATAAAGAACCTACCCCTAAAAGAAAAAGTATTATTACAAGATAACAGTTAACATAACATTCTGGAAATCATCTTGGAAATTGTAGTCAAATGTTAACCTACAAGATCTGACTAACGGAAATAGTGTATGGTTCACTGACAAAAATGGTGATGTATAAAATTTATCATCCAATATAATGAGCAATTTTTTTTTTGCATGCTGTTACAAGTGTAATTCAGCAAAATAGTACTACAAAATTTGTGGGCATGCTTTTTGGAAGGTTCTGTTATGCTTGTATTCTAGCAAATGATTAATGTCAGGGGAAAGTGAAAGAAGTATGGGATCTGATACAGGGTAAGAAACCTCCTCATTAAAGGCTCTTCTCTGCCTAAAGGATGGCCTGTTTGATGTGGAGTCCTGATAATGGGTAGAAAAGGAGAAAATGAAGAGGGGATGGTTTGGATTTGGAGGGTTCATTGAAGAAATATTTGCTTTTATTGGCTGAAATAAGTAAATGTAAAAATGAAGTGAAATATTCTGTTCTAGTGCTAAGTGTATTTTTGCTAATAGTTGGCTAATATCTAAAGGTTATTTCAGATTTACATATTACATAAAAATAGGCCTGTGATAATATTACCTCCATTTTCTGACTTCTGCGAGATATCAGGAATCTTCCACAATATTCTTTGTTGTTCAGCATTCCTAACAATAAAATAGGTAAAAGAATTTTATATACACAAGAGTTTTTGTTTAGTGGATGCCATATACTGTCTGGATAGTGACAATTATTAAAAATGGATCTTGAAAGTTTTGCTGCAATTTAAAAATTATATATATAATCTATATAAATTCTCTCCCTTCCCTTATTGTAACTAGCCATAACACTGACAGATAAACATTTAGAGGACAGCAAAGAATTAAAAAAATTTTGGAACATATCTACTGAAACAATAGATGGGAAGTATTAGTAAATAATTTAAGTAATTTAATTACTTAATTGGAATTGGAATTATGTCCTATGGCTGACATTTATTTGTTAAAAATGTTCTTTTTGCTTCTGACAATCATATGTGAAAACTAGAATGTTCTCTCTAGGAGAACAAATTCTTTTTAACAGATGCTATTGGCACTCTGTATCTATTCAGTGCCTATTGCCATACCTTCTCTAGCATGCCTTCTTATAGTCCAGAGGCTAGAAAACTAAACACTGTATTTCCCAGACTCCCTTGCAAATTAGGTTCCACCAATTAGATGAACTTGAGATTTGGAAGATGGAAGGGAGGCAGAGGCTGTTTTCTGCTGACCAGCAACCTAACTGAGATGTGGGATCTTCTACAACAGTGCTCCAGTCAGTCTGTAGTTAATGAGGTACCAGCAGGAGTTTTCTGACCTGTGGATCATAGGTATGGTGGTTGGTTCTTGAATTCAATGGTTCCACTGACAGTCTTCTAATTTCTCTCTTTCCCATTTGTAGCAGAGGTGGCAGCTCTCTGGGTGAGCCAGTTCTGCAATGTTCTGGAAACATTCTTAGAGATCCAGCCTAAAGCCTGTTCCTCTAGCACTTCCACCATTTTGTAAGCATCGGAATCCCGGTGCTAATTCATTTTCTGCTTAAAATAATGACAGTGGTTTCTATTTCTTGCCCTGAACCCTGATACACAGGCCTGCTGTGATTTCCTCCTGCAGGAGACCCAAACGTCAAGAAGATTGGGATTTCTTTACATAGAAGGAGCCCTTTGGTGAAGAGAAAGGGGGCTGGTGGCTCCTTACCAGACTGCTGGTGGGAGTACAGCCTGGAGCTTGGTTACTCCTCCATCTATGGGGACCAGAAACTGCACGTTGTTGAGGGCCACAGCGGTTGTCATTGCATCTGTATTGTATTTGTAATCTATGCGCAGGTCTGTGCTTGCAGGCTCACAGCGCCAATTCACTGCCAGGTTCAAAGGCGTGGACTGAATACCCTGGGCAGACACCTTGCCAAATGACAAGAAAGAGGACATGTAAGCTTGGACCGTTACTCAGAAACAAACCCAGAAGCTATCCCCACAGGAATGTTCTTAGATATCAAAATTTCATAACTTTGTTTATGCTGCTCACAAATGAGCTCTCAATGAAAATCACTGTGAAGGGGCCGTGTGAGAGAGAGCTGGGGGCTTAAGGAAAACCGTTACGGATTAAAAACCAAATTTACCGCTAAAATCTCTCTGGTACTTTATAGTTTGCAATGCACTTTACATCTGTTAGGGAGGTGGAATAGCACACTGGTTAATAGCTGAGGCTGTGGAGCTAAGGGTTTGAGTTCTGTTTCTGTCACAAATGATATTGGACAAGTCACTAAACCTCGCTGAGTTTCAGTTATTTCCTCATCTGCCAAATATGAATCATAACAACAATATATACCCATAGGGTTGTCAGGAAAATTGAAGGAGATATTTTATGCAAAACACTCAGAACAGTGTCTAGCACACAGAAAGTAATTAATGTTTTAATAAATGTTACCTACTTCGCTATAGTTGGAATAGACTCGACAGCAATGGGTTTGGTTTTTGGTTTATTAATATTCTTAGGAGTCCCTGGGTGGCGCAAATGGTTAAGCACTGGGCTACTAACTTAAAGGTTGGCGGTTTGAACCCACACAGAGGCACCTGGGAAGAAAGGCTTGGCAATCTGCTTCTGAAAGATCACAGCCACAAAAACCCTAGGGAGCACAGTTCTACTCTGGAACATGATGTCACCATGAGTTGGAATTGACTCGATGGCAATTGGAAAATTAATATTCTTATCACATTTGCTAGTCACAACAAAGCAGGGAGTTAGACAACGGTGGTTATTATTATTATTACTACTTTGGGATTTGCCAAAGTAAGGACTTCAACCCCAGCCCCCTGACAGGAAGTGCTACATTCTACATCGAATGTTGATTCTATTTAAAATCAACAGTATATGGTAGAATGTATTTAGAATCAACAGTGAATTTTAGCAAGGAAAAGCCAGGTTTGAAAAGTCAACCAAAATTGATCTCATCTAAAGACTATAACATCAGCCTGAATTCTGGATGCCACAGTGAAAATTCAACAATGTTTTAATCTCTCATTGTTAATTGTGAGGGTGGGGAATCTCCTTTCACGACTACACACACACTGCAGGGGTTGTGTGGGTGGTGTTTATGTCCTTGGATTTTTATTCATGGAGTGTGAATTTTGCTAATTTTGAAGACTATAAACAACTATCTATTGGCCTAGAAGTGCGTGTACATAAGGACACCATGGGGAAGAGTCCTGAAGGCCGGTTGAACTCAAAAGGCAGAAGGGGTTGCTAGAGAAACAAGGCCAGAAATGGACTCTTTTGTGAAATGATAGGAATGGGCTGTAATGACAGTTCTAGTTAGATAACCATTATAGTAGTTTTCAAACTTTAAATATTTTTAGCAACCCAATCTTTTCTGAAAATGAACTTTTATTTAGAAAGTCATTATCTAACACAGACCAAAAGCAGAGCAGAACTCTCCTTTTTCTGCACTTTATCCTCAGCAGTATTTCTCAAATTGATAGTAATTCCTTAACCCAGGGAGGTATTACCTGGATACATGAGGGTGTGTTTTTGATTGTTCCAATTACTAGGCATTGCTATTGGTGGTCAGGGACTAAACAGGCTGTGATTTGAGGACAATGCTACTTGTGCCCCATCTTCAATTGTTGAAAAACAGTAACAAAAGCACAACAAAACAGTAACAAAAGGAATTCCTTAGAGCACAGTTTGAGAACAACCGTTCGAGGACTACTTACCACTCACAAAAAAAAAAAAAAAAAAAAAAAACCCGAATCAAACCAAAACACAAAAATCTTTGCCGTCAAGTCAATTCCGACTCACAGAGACCCTACAGGACAGAGTAGAACAGCCCCATAGGGTCTCCAAGGAGCAGCTGGTAGATTCAAACTACTGACCTTTTGGTTAGCAACCAAATGCTTAACCACTGCACCACCAGGGCTTCAATCACAAAGTACTTTGAAATATACTAGGCTACTAGCACCTTAAGGAGCCCTGGCGGTGCAATGGTTAAAGCACTCAGCTGCTAACAGAAAGACTGGTAGTTTGAACCAACCTAGCAGCTCCTTGGGAGAAAAGTCCTGGCAATCTGCTCCTGTAAAGATTACAGCCTAGAAAACCCTATGGGGGCAGTTCTACTCTGTCACACTTAGCTGCATTGAGTTGAAAACTGACTCCATCGCACCTAACAACATTAGCATCGCACAAGAAGCCCCTGGGTGGCGCAAATGGTTAAGTAGCTCTAGGCTACTAGCCAAAAGGTTGGCAGTTTGAGAACCCACCCAGAGGCACTTGGGAAGACAGGCCCAACGATCTGCTTCCAAAAGGTCACATCCTTAAAAACCCTATCGAGCAGTTTTACTCTGCACACCTGGGGTTGCCATGAGTCGGGGGATTGACTCAGTGGCAACTAAGAACAACGACAATCATCTCACAACAACTGATGAAATATCTAGGTAGGTCTGATTGCTGTTCTTATTTACAGGTGAGGAAACTGAGGTTCAGGAAGACTTAAGGTGCCCAAGGTCACATGGAGAGTGCGAAGCAGGCCTGCGTCTCTTGCCTCCACCTTAGCGCTTTAAACCAAGCTCATTATTACAACAGGTGAATTCTGCCTACCTTCTAGGCTCACTTAATAACAAATATGGAGATTAAAAAAGCAAAAAACAGAGGATATTAAAGTTTCAAAATTTTTTTATCTGAAATGAAAACGTAGATGCAGTGTTTGTAAGCAGAGTTCATAAAGGGATACAAGTACGGTTTTATTTTCACCCTTTTGGGGATGAGAATCACTCATGTGCCCGGAAATTTAACTTGCCATTCAGAGAAAAAATACGTTGGCATTTCCCTTCCTTATCCCTCATTTCTCTCAGAAGCTTAAAGGAGTCACTAAACATGTTTAAATGTTTTGAGACAAAAAAGTTTAAAAGTTAAACAAAATGTATTTTTTACTTTAATTATAAAAACTATAAATTTTGCATTATATAATTTATTTGATAGTCTTATCTATGATGTCCAAAGTTTAGATGATAATATTCTTAGAGGAAAAAACGTTGTATTTGTTGGCATTTTTGTAAAATGTACCATCATACAGACAACTTACTTTCAGTAATTTAAATAAATAGGTTTCAACCCGTAGGGTGTGTTAAAGTTGCTGAAGGGCTTATAAAAAATACAGATACCTGGGTTTCATCCTGAACCAACTAAATCAGAATCTGGGTGTGTGAGGGCCAGCAACTACACTGTGATATTTTTTTGTACCAATTCAGAACTAAATTTAGAACCAGCATTTGTTTACAAGCTCCCTGCTGATTGTACAGTACAATGAGATATAAGATGCATTGGTTTCTATTAAAGCACAACTTCGAAAAAGAACAATGTTATTTCCTCATTTTAAGAAAAAGAAGTTAAACATATTTAACCATAAAAATTACAATGCATTAAAAATAATCTAGAAGATCGTGTGGCTGGGAATCAATGGGATACTCAGGCATTGTACTACTTCTTGCCTTTGAAACTTGGTTGGAAATAGGCCTATTTGCTAGATTAGTAGTAATCTGAGGTAAGGGCAATCCTAGACACAGAAAAGAAAGTTCTCACATACTGTATCAAACCTTCTTTTAACATTAAATGATTTCTTAAAATAAATCTTATTAGAACTGTACCACAGGGCTTATCACACTAGAACAAAAATCATATTTCTTATATTTAATCATTAAAAATAAGAGGTTTTAGTTCAGTAATATCCTTAAGGATACAGTGATCTAGTTTTCAATATTTATAATTTTAACTGATGTAGTTTTCTGCAACCTCATTTTTGTGGCATGTTTCTCTAATTTTTTTAATAATATTTTTTACAGGTAAGTTTAAACTAATAAGGAAATGTATACATATTCTAGTCACTAGTCCTCAATTAATCCTTTCAAATTTTTATTTTCTTAAATTATAGACTTTAAATAATATTAAAAGATATGTTACTTTACTTACTTTTACTTAATGCTATACTTTTGAATATAAATTTGTAATGTGAAACAGATACCCTAATCCAATAAATAGGCTTACCTGATATTTGAGCATGTCCACATTATAATACGTAGCCTGGGGTTTCTGTTCAGACACTTTCTTTAGGTGAGTCATCAAATTTGGCATGTTTACCCAGAATTCCTTGGTATTGGCATCATTTTGGGTATTATCACTATTCAGTTGGGAAGGAAAAATTAGTACCATCTTATAACGAATCAAATATAAACCACACAAGAAGCATCTTAGCAAATGGATGTCTAATGTCTATATCCATCTTTGACAATTCTTAGCGATTATTTTATAACACTAGTGCAGTTTTAGTACAAATGCAATTCTGAATGATATCGTGCCATGTTAATAGATTAACACCATATTATAGTAATACGGAGCTATTGTACTGCTATAAATCTCAGTGAGTACTCAGTAATATTAACCAATTATGATGATAATTGGTTGCTCTACAGAGTGAATTATTTATTAACCCAAACTTAATAGACTTTTCCTACATCATCAAATGGTTCATCTGAATTAGTCAGTTAATGCAATCAAAGAGCTAAGTACATTGGTTTTCTTCTTAGATTGAGTTAGCCAGTAGTTTCTCAGAAGTTCCTGATTAAATATTTTGGCCAAATATAAACATAGTCTTTATCATCTACTAATGAGAAAAAGATGATCCTAAAATTACCATGCTACCTATTCAGCATAGACAATACTTAATTCAAGAGCATCTAAATCATAAAAAATCACTTTACTTAGAAGGTGATCTTGCAATTTAAGTGATGATAATCATGGTAATTATGATAGAAAAATAGAGTGCAGCCTTGAACCAAGGAGTTTTATATCCCTACAGCCTTCAGTATGGATTACACCTCAACATAAAGAAAACAAAAATCCTCACGACTGGACCAATAAGCAACGTCATGATAGATGGAGAAAATACTGAAGTTGTCAAGGATTATATTTTACCTGGATTCACAATCAACACCGATGGAGCAGCAGTCAAGAAATCAAATGACATATGGCATTGGGCAAATCTGCTGCAAAAGGCCTCTTTAAAGTGTTAAAAAGCAAAGATGTCACTTCAAAGACTAAGGTACGCCTCACCCAAGCCATGGTATTTTCAATTGCCTCATGCATGTGAAAGCTGGACAATGAATAGGAAAGACCGAAGAAGAATTGATGCCTTTGAATTATTGCGTTGGCAAAGAATATTCAATATGCCCAAAGAACGAACAAATCCGTCTTGGAAGAAGTTCAGCTGGAATACTCCTTGGAAGCAAGGATGGAGAGACTTCGTCTCACATACTTTGGACGTGTTATCAGAAGGGACCAGTCCCTGGAGAAGGACATCATGCTTGGTAAAGCAGAGGGTCAGTGAAAAAAATGAGAAAGACCCTCAACCAGATGGATTGACACAATGGGTACTACAGTGGGCTCAAACATAGCGATGACTGTGAGGATGGCACAGGACTAAGCAGTGTTTCATTCTGTTGTACGTGGGGTCACTACGAGTTGGAATCAACTCGATGGCACCTAACAACAACAACGAGAGTTGTTCAGCTTTGTTTAGAGGCCTGTCCACATACCATTCACACAATCATGTGAATGCTTGTCCTCGCATAGGCAAGAGTGTGTAAAGCATCTGTTCACTTCCCACATAATGAGGAAACTGAGGTCCCACATGATTAAATAACAGATAACTATTCACTGATGTTTCATTTTCAGAATATCCTATATAATACAATAATAGTAGCTATGCTTTCTTGAGCACCTATTATTACTAGGCACTCTACCAGATGCATTATAAATTATTTCATTAAAATCTACCTCACAAAGGAAGAATTATTATCCTCGTTTTTAAAGATGAGCTAACTTATAAAAAGGGAAAATTAGCGTTTGAGAAGAGGGAAGGTTGAAAAGTAGAGGGCAGATCAAAAATAAATTGCTATGATTAAGCCTTTGGAGGTCAAACAAACCAAGAAAGCAGAGTCTAAAAATTACCAGGGTCTTAAAATTGCTACTGGTCTGTTAGGAGAAAGCAGCTGTTGGAGGTCGTCTCAGCGTGACTCACACGATTCGGCTGTGCCGTGGCATAAGGTTATTGAGGACAGAGCAAAGTTCTGTGATTCTTCTCTCTGATTCTACAAAGGGGATGAAAAGACTCCCGGTCCCTGAGACTTTGCCCCTGAGTCAAGCTGAGCTAAGGATGCTGGTAAGGGCTACCCAAACTTTTATTATCTATAAGTATCTAAGTTACCCAAGCTTCCAGAGAAAGGAGACAGGAGAAAAGAGGATAGAGGGTCAGCAAAATTCAGTAATTTCCTTAAGGTCACACTGCTAATTATAAGTAATAGAGTCAAGAGTCCAGCCCAGGTCAATCTTATTACAGCTCATACCTTCCCGCTATACCAAAACCAAACCAAAACAAAACAAAAAAAGCATACACCCTAAACCAGTTGCCGTGAGTTGATTCCAACTCATGGCAAAGCCGTATGTGTGAGAGTAGAACTGTGCTCCATACGGTTTTCAATGGCTGATTGTTTTGGAGGTAGACCGCCAGGGCTTTCTCCTGAAGTGCCTCTGCGTAAACCGAAACCTCCAACCTTTTGGTTAACTGTTTGACAGGGGTGTAGAATTCATATCCAGCAACACATCATTGGAGTCCCTGGATGGTACAAATGGTTAACTTGACTGCTAACAGTCAAGCAAAAACACTCTCAGAGTGTTGTTTAATACAACTCACAAGGAGTCTCCATGTGGTGCAAATGGTTAATGCACTCAGCTGCTAACTGTAAGGTTGAAAGTTCAAGTCCACCCAGAGGTGCCTCAGAAGAAAGGCCTGGTGACCTACCTCTGGAAAAAATAAGCACTTGAAAACCCCATGGAACACAGTTCTACTCTGACGTACATGGGGTTACCGCGGAGTTTAAGTTGACTTGATGGCAACTGGTTACTGGTTTATATGTTAATATATGTATAAAATTATTGCATATACGCCTAAGAACTTGGCAATATAACTGCCTCAAAATGCAAAATAATATAATAAAAATAATATTTACAAACAAACTGATGAGGTAGTGGCATACAATTTCTAATTTTAGATGGAAGAACACTGAAAAGTAAAATTAACTGGCTCAACATGCACATCGAAGAGAGGGAGGGAAAGTGACATAAAGATTTGTCAATTTCCAATAATAATCATTTCACGTTTATTTTTGATCCTAATGGAAAATCATTTCTTTTATACTATTACACCTGGACTCAAGTTGCCAGTTAGGCCCTTGCAAAGGCCACAGAGGAGAAGGTGACCTTTGTAATTGTCTGAAAGACCCACGACTGTTTTTTCACTATTGGAATGAAAAAGTCCCATTTAGGCAAGAATGTGAGTAACTATGTTGGTCCTCAAATTCCAAATACCAACAACATTTACTTATTTCTGCATAAACATCCCACTGACTAAATTCTTTAAGTTATGTTTAAATTGTTCATTTAGTCAATAAATACTAAAAGTGCTTATTAGATGCCAGACACAGTGGGAGGTATGAAGATACAGTGGTGAACTAATAGAATGTTCCATTCCCTCATGGATCTTACAGTCTAGTGGGGGAGATGACTGAATGAAGAAACACAAATAGATATATAATTATTAATTATAGTAAGTGCTACAAAGAAAAAGAATAAGGGACTTTGAGACAGAATAACAAGGGAACATAATCTAGTTTGGGAATGGTGGGGGATGAGGAGGGGTGTGGGAGGGTCAGGGAGACTTGGTGAAGCTGAATCTGAAGGATGACTAGGAGCCAGGTGAAGAAGGGCAGAAAGAGTATCGCAGGCAGAGGAAACAAGCACAAAAGCCCTGCCATTGTTTCTGAGACTGGCAGGTGTGTCCAGAGCTATAGGGATTTTGAGGCAGAATGGTGAGAGAAGAGGACAGACAGGCAGGCAACAACAGATGACTCAGGACCTCCAAGGAAATGGTAACGAGTTTAGGTACAGGTGCGATGTGAAGTTGCTGGAGGCTTATGAGCAAGGATGACCTGATTTACCTCATAAAAGATTGTCTGCTGTGTGAAAAATGTGTTGGTGTGGGGCAAGACTGGATGCAGGGAAGCAAGAAGGGAAGCAACTGCAGTGGTCCAGGGCATTGATAGTGGTGACGTGGGCAAGGGAGGTCTCAGTAAAGGAGAAAAGTAGCCACTTCAGAGAGATTTTTAGATGTAATATCAGGACTTGATGGAAAGGGAGATACCAAGAATGATGCTGTTGTCTCATCCATTGCAAATAATTAACCTGATATAATTAATCATTTTTAACAGCATGTACATACTTATTGGGTGAATGTACACATGAGCACACATAATAAAGACATGAAATTCAAGCTTAATACTTAGAATATGTGAAAAATTATATTCATACAAAAATTCACATAAGCTTCTTTTTTTTCATACATGTAAAGTTCCATGAAAACACTACAATTACAATAAAGTTTTACATGTCACAAAGAATATTTTCTAGGTCATGTAAAGAGGAGCTCACAATTCAAATACCATTTGATTTAAAAAGATGCTAATTCAACAGAAGGATTTTATTCCGTTATTGGGCTTATTTCCCACCATTCTCATCCATTGTCTACCAATGAAAAGTAAAACAGACAATGAGTAAATTATCACTAACACAGATTTTATTACTCTAAATGTCTCTTTACCCACTTGAGATAGTTGGCCATTAAAATACATATATGTATATGCAGCCATGCATACACGCACACACGCACAAAAACTTTGACAGCTGGGAAAAGTCGTATGTTTGAATCAGTAGGTGCATTTCCTACTGAATCAACAGAACAGTGATGATTTCTCTAACTGTGCTACTCCACTACCAAGGTTTATCGCTTCTCTAGGTACAAAGTTCTCAGCCACACACACTTCTAAATATTTGTGCAAAATCATATTTACCAGCAGAGAAGTTGGGGATTTGGCAGGACATGTTCTAACCTGCTGAAATTCACCACCCGAAAAGTCAGTGCAGCTGGGGATGGGTTGTTGGCAAAGTGTCTGGTGATGCCAGCAGGAAAGGACAACACCATTTCTCCAGTGATCTTGACAATGCATCTGGCGTATCAAAACACAGAGGAAAGAGAGAGGAATCCTGGGTCAGTATGCTGTGAATCAAAACAGTTGTGAAAAAGTAAAGACATATGTAATAACATTAAACAGCAGAAGAGAGGAAAGGTAAGCTCTTAGAATTCCACTCTTACTACTAAATCAATTTCTCACTTATCTGAGAAATCAATGGCTTGTTTTAACACTTATATTTTAAAATGTGGCTATTTTGTTGAATGCGTTTTGGACTGTAAGAAGAAAAGCGCAGCTTTTTTCTGTGGAAAAGTCTATATATTCACCTCACAAATAGAATCATCTACTGTGGTGGTTCACTCTCATTTTGGTTTCTGAATTTTTGGCAGAACATTTAAAGATATTAACTGTACACCATCCTCACACACTGGAACCTACTTTAGTTCTCTGAATAACATGATTAATGCCTCGAGCATGTTGTTTTACACTCTCCAGATGAAGTTCTTGTGTCCGCTTAGCTAGTTGTTCATTTCATTAACTTGGCTATGTGGACAAAATGGTCAAATCGGTCATACAAGTTAACACAACAGGATGAGAGTTTAGAAGGAAAAATGATTTTTTAAAAGAGCATTATTGAAGTATAATTGATATACAATAACTGCACTTTTTAAAGTGTAAACTTCCATAAGTTTTGACAGAGGATACACCCATGAAATCATCCCACAACCAAGAAAATGAACATACCCATCGCCCCTAAAAGTTTCCTCATGTCTTTCTGTAATCCCTTTCTCCCATCCTTCCCCACCTTTCCACTCCCCATCCTCAGGAAACTGTTAATATGTTCTGTCACTATGCATTAGTCTGCATGTCCCAGAGTTGTTTATAGACAGAATGATAAGGTATGTTCTTTTTGGCTAAGTTTTTTTTCACTTAGCATCATTATGTTGAGATTCATCCAAGCAGTTATGTGTATCTACAGTTCATTCCTTTTTACTGTTAAGCAGTAGTATGGATATAACACACTTCATTTATCCATCTGGTGAAGAACATTTGGGTTGTTTCCAGTTTGGGGCTATTATAAATAAAGCTATGCATTTATGCACAAGTCTTTGAATGGACAGATGTTTCTTTCTCTTGGGTAAGTACTTATGAATGGAACCACTGGATAACATGGCAGTTGCACTTTTAACTTTTTAAGAAGGTCAAACTGTTCTCTAAAGTGGAAAATAAAGCTGTGTGTAAGACTTTTGAGGGAACCTTGGTGGTGCAGTGGTTAAGTGCTCGGCTGCTAATTGAAAGGTTGGTGGTTAGAATCTACTAGCTGCTCCGCGGGAGAAAGAGGTGGCAGTCTGCTTCCTTAAAGATTTACAGCCTTGGAAACCCTACAGGGCAGTTCTACACTGTCCTACAGGGTCATTATGAGTCAGAATTGACTCGACAGCAATGGGTTTTGGGTTTATAAGACTTCCAATTCTTCCACATCCTCACCAACACTTGTTAGGGTCATTCTTTTAAATTTTAGCTATTCTAAAAGATATGTAGTGTTAGCTCATTGTTGTTTTAATTTGCATTGTCCTAATTGCTAATTATGTTAAGTACTTTCATGTGACTATTTGTCTTTAATTACCTCTTTTGGTAAAGTGTCTGCCCATATCCTCTGCCAAGTTTTTAAATTGAGTTTTTTGTTCTCTTATTAAATTTTGAGAGTTCTTTATATATTCTGGATACAAGTCATTTATCAGATAGGTCTGTTTTTTTTTCCTAAGAGTACCTTTTGAAGATCCCAAGTTTTTTTTTATTTTTTTATTTTTATGGAGTCCAATGCATCAATTTATTCTTTTATGATTATATTTAATCATTGTATTCTTTGGGTGTTGTGTAATTTTTCACCTATATTTTCTTCTAGAAGATTTATGGTTTTAGATTTTATATTTAAGCTTATGATCTATTTTTTAGTTAATTTTTATATAGTGTTGGGTATGGATCCAAGTTCATTGTTTTTGTTTTGACAGGCGTATCCAATTGTTCTAACAATTTGTTTAAAAGACTATCCTTTCTCCACAGCATTACCTTGGCAATTTTGTTGAAAATCAGTTGGCCATATATGTGTAGGTTTATTACTAGATTTCCTATTCTGTTTCATTGACCTATTTTACCTACCTTTTCAATAACACCATGCTGTCTTGATTTCTCTAGCATTATCTTGTTGTTGGTTGATAGTTCCGAAGTCAGGTAGTGTTAGTTCTCCAACATTATCTTCTTTTTCAAAGTTATTTGACTATTGTAGGCCCTTTGCTTTTCCTTAAGAATTTTAGAATCACTATGTCAATTTCGACATAAATGCCTGCTGAGATTTTGATTAAGATTACATTAGATACATAGATCAATTTGGCGAACATTGACATCTTAAAAACATTGAGTCTTCTGATCAATGAATACAGTATATCTAATCTCTCCATTTATTTAGGTCTTTAATTTTTCTCAGCCATGTTTTGTAGTTTTCAGTGTAGAGGTATTTCATACCTTTTGTCAGATTTATCCCTAAGTATTTCACATTTTCTGAGGTGATTTTAAGTGGTTATGCTCTTTAAATTAAAATTTCCAATTGTTTGTTGTTATTACATAGAAATATTATTGATTTTGTATATTGATCTTGTATCCTGCAACCTTGCTAAATTCTCTTATTAGTTCTAGCTGTTTTTTGTAAATTCCAACAGATTTTCTGCTTAGACAATCTCATCATCTCTACATAAAGACAGTTTTACTTTGTCTTTTCCAATCCGAATGCCTTTTATTTCTTTTGCTTGCCTTCTTGCAATGGCTAGAACTTCCAGTATGATATTACATAGAAAGTGTGAAAGTGGACATCTTGTCTTGTTCTTAATCTTAGAGACAAATTATTGTCTTTCTTTATTCTTTGATAGTTTAGCTGTAAGTTTTTTGTACACGTCATTTATTATTAGTTGGGAAAATTCCATTCTATTTCTAATTTCTAGTGGTTTATCAAGAATGAATGCTGGATTTTGTCAAACGTTTTTAATACCTCTGTTGAGATGTTCCTATGCTTTTACCTTTTTAGTTTGTTAAAAACTAATTGCGTTTATGGACTTCTGAATATTAAGCCATCTTTTAATTTTTGTGATAAACTCCATTTAGTCATTTGTATCATCTAGTTTCTACATTGTTGGATTCAATTTGCTAAAATTTTGTTTAAAATTCTTGCAACTAAGTTCAGAGGGATATTGGTCTCTGGTTTTCTATTCTTGTAATATCTTTGTCTGGTTTTAATATCAGAGTAATGCTGGCTTTATCGAATAAGTTGGGAAGTATTCTCTTCTCTTCAATTTTATGAAAGAATTTGTGTAGAATTATTTCTTCCTTAAATGGTAGAATTCACCAGTGAAGCCATTTTCTTGGTGAGAAAGTTTTAAACTATATATTCAAAATTTTTAATAGTTATAGGGTTATCCAGGTTATCTATTTCTTTTTAAGTGAGCATTAGTAGTTTGTACTTTCAAGGAGTTTGTTCATTGTATCTAACTTTTCATATTCATTGGCTCATGGTTAACAGTATTCCCTTATTATCTTTTTAATATCTGTAGTATATATAATGATGTCCCCTTTCTGATTTCTGATATTGGTGATTTGTGTCTTCTCTCTATTTTTATACTGATCAATCTGGCTAGAGGTTATCAATTTTATTGATCTTTTAAAAAACTAGATTTGGGCTTTATTGATGTTCTCTATTTTCTCCCCAGTTTTCTAGTTCATTTATTTCTGTTCAGATTTTTATTATTTCCTTTCTTCTATTTCCTTTGGGTTTAGTTTGCTCCTCTTTTTTCTAATTTGTAACGTGGGATCTGAAGTCATTGATTTGGGGATCTTTTTTCTTTTTTTAATATAGGCCTTTACTACTATAAATTTACCATTAAGTACTGCTTTTCTGGCATCCCACAAATTTTGATACGTTATACTTTTATTTTAGTTCAGTTAAAATCTTACTCATTTCCCTTTTGGTTTTATTTGTACCCATGTGTTATTTAGAAGTATATTATTTAATTCCCAAATATATGGGAATTTTTCAGAAATTTTTCTATTATTGGTTTCTAACTGAATTTGTTGTGGTCAAAGAACATATTTTGTATGACTTAAATCCTTTTAAAATTTTTTGAGACTTGTTTTATGTCCCAGAATATGGTCTTTCTTGCGGAATGTTCCACATGCCCTTGAAAAGAATTTGCATACTGCCATTGTTGAATGACATGTTCTATAAATATGAATTCAGTCTTGTTGGTTGATAGTGTTCTTCAAGTCTTCTATACGATGACTGATTTTCTGTCTACTTTTTCTGTCAATTACTGAGAGAGAGATATTGAAATCTCCTACAATAATTGTGGATTTGTCTATTTCTCTTGGTACTTCTATCAGTTTTGCTTCAAGTATTTTTTAGCAAAAACTGTTACCGTATTTTTACACAAATAATGTGTGCTTCCACATTTGTTTGCCAACTGCACCCTCCCGTGACTAGGTATTTGCATAAGCACACTATGCTAATTTTTTTACAGCAACATGTAAAAAAAACTGGCATAGTGGTGCTTATGAAAATACCTCAAGGGGGGAGGGCGCAGTTGGCAAACAAATATAGAAGGCACATGTTATTTGTGTAAAAATACAGCATTGTGTGTACAATAAAATTCTGCTATTAAGTGCATAAACATTCAGCATGATTATGTTCTCTTGATGAATTACCCATTTATCATTATGAAATTACCTTCTTTATCCCTGGAAGTATTTTGCCCTGAAATTTACTTTGTCTGATATTAACATAGCCACTCCAGCTTTCTTTTGATTATATTAGTAAGGTACATTTTTTCTGTCCTTTTACTTTTTATCTATTTGAGCTGTTGTATTTGAAGTGCATTTCTTGTGGACAGAATATAGTTGGCTCTTGCTTTATTATACAATCTGACAATCTCTGCCTTCTAACTGATGGTTTTGTTGAAATTTATCATCTTTATTTTTGTATTGCTCTCACC